GGTTTCTACTCCCTACATTCTTCTGCAATTCATTCTGATTCTCCTCTCTGCACTGCTGTTACTTCCCATTAAGCCCTCAACCTCTCCACCTGGAATATATATTTAAACTTGACATATATGTCATGTGTTACCATCAAATGCAGGTATGTTTTAAAACTGGGGATATAGTCGGGCACAAAACATAAAAATCCCTACCTGTCCAGTGGTAATGAGCTCCCTTCAGCTTTTGTTTATCTGGTAATGTCTTTATTTCTCCCTCATTAAAAAAAAAACGAATTTATTATTTATTTTTGGCTGCGTTGGGTCTTCGTTGCTGCACGCAGCTTTCTCTAGTTGCGGCGAGTGGGGGCTACCCTTCATTGCAGTACCCGGGCTTCTCATTCTGGTGGCTTCTCTTGTTCCGGAGCATGGGCTGTAGGTTCGCGGGCTTCAGTAGTTGTGGCATGTGGACAACTGAGAAAAGTGGAGACTATGCCCAGGGAAGACCTCTCCTCTTTTTTTTTTTTAAATACATATATGCTCTTTTTAAAAAATAAATAAATTTGTTTGTTTGTTTGTTTATTTATTTTTGGCTGCATTGGGTCTTTATTGCTGTGCACAAGCTTTCTCTAGTTGCAGCGAGAAGGGGCTACTCTACGTGTGTGGGATTCTCATTGTGGTGGCTTCGCTTGTTGCGGAGTATGGGCTCCAGGCACGCGGGCTCAGTAGTCGTGGCGTGCCGGCTCGGTAGTTGTGTTACATGGGCTTAGTTGCTCTGTGGCAGGTGGGATCTTCCCAGGTCAGGGCTCAAACTCATGTCTCCTGCATTGGCAGACGGATTCTTAATGACTGAGCCACCAGGAAAGACCATCCCTCATTTTTTAAAGGGAGTTTTGCCAGGTATAGAATTCTCAGTTGACAGTTTTGTTTTTAGTCTCTGGGGGAAAGAGGGCTTGGAGCTTACTAGTCCACCATTTTGCTGATGTCACTCCTCACATAGTGTTTTAATTGAAACTTTTTTAACTTAAAAAAAGAATGGGTCTAGCAATCTGGATTGGATGACCTGGTGACACAGTAGAAACTTGGTCAGAACTAGGAAAAAACTAGGGAAAAGAGCACACTATGTTTTTACCTTTTCCTGTTTGTGCATCTGTCCATATGCCATTTCTTTTAAGGAGTTTTTAGAAACAACATGTATGTAATTTCAAAATTTAAATAAATTTTTTACCCAAAATATTATCATGGAAATGTTTGATCTTTATTTAATTCTCTTATTTATTAATGTAGAACACTGTCATATTGACTTTAGTTTTCATTGGAAATAATTCCTCTTTTTTGGTTAAATCCGAAGTTTGGTACACAGATTTATTTTAGTTTTGTTTTCATTTATGTGACTATATCTTAAACTATTTTGTTATATCTATTCAGGCACTATAATTACATAATTCGAAAACAAAAACAAAACAAGTACATTCTGAGTGCTATAGTTTCATCCTTTCTCCTCTGTCCTCTTCCTTTTCCTCATCTCACAGGTGCCCCTTGTACACAGTTTTTATTTTTCCATTATTAAGATATAAATGCATAAATATATAGAAATGCATAAACTATATGAATTATATTCACTTTCTTGCCAAAATAAAGCTAACTGCACAAAGTATTCTGATAGTTACTGACAGTTTAGGTCTGCATAGTTGAAATAACTTACTCCTCATGTCCACAGCTGCCCAGTGCTGTCTTAGGAGGATGCATCCTGATTTATTCAATCTTGGTTATTACCAAAAATGCTGAAAAAATTGTTCTGTGCTTGTGAAAAAATCTGCTTTTAACTTTTATTTTATTTATTTATTTATTTATTTTTGCTGTACGCGGGCCTCTCACTGTTGCAGCCTCTCGTGTTGCGGAGCACAGGTTCCAGATGCGCGGCCCCAGCGACCATGGCTCAGGGGCCTAGCCGCTCCGCGGCATGTGGGATCTTCCCGGACCGGGGCACGAACCCGTGTCCCTTAGCATCGGCAGGCGTACTCTCAACCACTGCGCCACCAGGGAAGCCCTGCTTTTAACATTTATATAAAGTTTAACATTTATATAAACATTATATAAAGTTGGAATAATTGTTAGGAGAGCAAACAAATTTACTGGCTCTAATAACAGGTACTCAATATTTTACAGTCTCCAGAGTTCTCTGATTGCAATAATATCAAACTCCAACATTCCCTCTAAATTTAAAAATAATGGTTTTTACTAATCTAAATATGCGTATTAATTTCCTCACTCAGACTAAGGCTGGCATGCTTGGAACTTTCTCACTCCTTTATCTGTATAACTTCACTTTGATCTCTGTATACATTCTTCCATCCACTGACTTGATTCTTAATCAGCTGGTCATGGCCAGCTCTTTGGTGCTTTCCCTCCAAAGAAATCCCTCAGATAATAGCAGCTTTTGGATGGCAATATTGCCTATATGATTTTGGATGTAAAGTTCTATTTACACTGAATGGGCAGAGGGGGTTCCCTCAGCACCACCTGCCTCTTGAGTGACTTCTAGGCCATTAAGCTTTGTCCAATTCCTTTACCACCTGTCACACTTGGGGCATAGTCTCCAATTTTCCCAGTTGTCCAAGCTGGCAGAGCGGTCCTGTGTGGGGGTCAAGCCACCAGGGTGAGCCCTGGACTCTGGCTGAGAACAGTGCCAGCCCTTTACCACACAACTGCTGAGACAATCTCGGGACTGGCCTGAGGGAGCAGGACCTGTCCAGGACAATGTAACCATCACCGAGGCTTCCTGCTATCCTCAAAGTACTGTGGCCAAATGCCACCTCAACCTTGCAACCCAGACTTACCTGCATCCCAGGACCCTAAGAGGACATCTTCACCTATTCTCTTTCATTCTAATGTACTTTTAATTTAGCACTTCTTTCATGTTTCCTGTCTGTGTTCTTTAAATGGTCGAAAACTCACAAGGGCAGGCTTGTCTGTCTTGTTTTCTGACTTTTCTTGTGCACCTACAGTAGTGCCTGAAACTCAGTAGATGCTCACTGAACATTTATTAAAGAACTGAGGGACTTCCATGGTGGGCACTGGTTAAGAATCCGCCTGCCAATGCAGGGGACACGGGTTTGATCACTGGTCTGGGAAGATCCCACATGCTATGGAGCAACTAAGCCCATGCTCCACAACTACTGAGCCTGCGCTCTAGAGCCTGTGACCCACAACTACTGAAACCTGCACACCTAGAGCTTGTGCTCCACAAGAGAAGTCATCACAATGAGAAGCCCGCGCACCGCAATGAAGAGTACCCCTTGCTCTGGGCAACTAGAGAAAGCCCGCACGCAGTAATGAAGACCCAAAAATAAATAAAATAAAATAAAATAAAATAAAAAAGTTTATTAAACGTGACACCCTAGATTCCACATCCATTTTTGCTTTTTACTGTTAAGGCTACTTTGAAAGTCCTTTTAAGCTATACTTCGAAGTATTAATGTTTTCACGAATGAAAAAATAATCACATTTCTAAAACAAAATCCTCAGTGGCCAAAGTTTCAGCATAGCCACTGCTCAGATAACTCTCTTCTCAGACTCCAGTGTGTCCTGTTCAGTTTTCTTTGAGATCTTAACTTTTGTTTTTTAATCTCTACTGATATTTTCCCAGAGCTATCCAGCCATTATCTTTAAATAAGTACATAATCATTAGTGGCTTTCAGTGATTTTCATTTCACAACTTTTTCTGGAATAATCTCAACTCCCAATGCTCACGCAATCCCTGCTATAACGGTAAGAATGATAATCACTTCTCATCAAAGAGATCAGATTTTGGTGTCCCCCCAATTTTTGTTTTGTTTTTTCCATACTTTAATTTATTCATTTTTCAGTAAGTTTAAATCCTTGAGGTGTATGGCATCACACAGATTCTTTGTCCACGGCCTTGGCAGCAAGGTTGTTTGGGAATTCGGCACGAACCATGCCACTGTCTCCGTGAACACAAGCTACCTTTCCCCAGGTTACTCTGGTTTTGTTTGGTTTTCCACCAGGAGTTACTTTGTTTTCTTTGCTTTGTACACGTAAGCACGTCTCTTGCCTAGATATTTAGAATTCTATTTCATTTCGAGCATAGACCCCTTCAATTTTTTTTTAATATAAATTTATTTATTTATTTTTGGCTGCATTGGGTCTTCGTTGCTGTGCGTGGGCTTTCTCTAGTTGCTGTGAGCGGGGGCTACTCTTCATTGTGGTGCTCTGGCTTCTCATTGTGGTGGTCCCTCCTGCTGCGGAGCACAGGCTCCAGGAGCACGGGCTTCAGCAGTCGCGGCATGCACGCTGAGTAGTTGCAGCGCACGGGCCCAGCCGCTCCGCGGCATGTGGGATCCTCCCAGACCAGGGACAGAATCTGTGTCCCCCGCACCGGCAGGCGTACTCTCAATCACTGCGCCACCAGGGAAGTCCCAGACCCCTTCAATTTTAAGAGCTATGTGCTCCCTCTGGTTCCGGAGACTGGGCTTATAGCCAGCAAAAATGGCCTTGGACCACAGCCTTCCAGGCATATTTGTCCTTTCAGAAGTCCTGTTCTCAGCGGGCCTCCACAGTCTTCAAGATGGTTGAAACAGAAAGGCCGATGTCCCAAACTTTTATCTCAGGGTTCTGGTATCTTTGCACAGGTGCTCTAACCGGGCCACTTTACCGGGCGGTCCAGGTGAGCAGCGCTCCACGCTCGGTCTCAGAGCTGTTGGAACTACATTTCCCAGAGGACGCTGCGCCGGGGGCCTTCGGCGTTAAGCCAATTAAAGCTCAGGAGGAGGGAACTTCCCTGTGAGAGCATCGCGTAGGGGCAGGACTTCCGGCATTCTCCTCGTGGCGGTCGTTTTGTAGGCGCTTGGGGTATGTTCGCTCGGCCTCAGGTTCCACAGCGGCGAGTCGAGACCGAGAAGGTCGCAGAGGAGACGCTGTCCGCGCCAGGCCTGGGATAGGGTCCACTGTGCCCGCGTCCCCCTTCCTCTCCCGCCGTTCCCCGCCCCGTCCACAGTCCAATGGCGGCGGCGGCACTGAGGCACCCGCCTCAGGTAAACGCTCGTCTTCCGGCCCTCACCGCCCTCACCCCACAAGACGCTAAAGCCTCGAGTGCGGGGCGCCGGCTCACGTGCCCGCAGCCCAGACCCCGGTATTCAGGATGGTGAGGCGGCCGTGGGTGGGGCCCTGTTTCTGACAGACGGTTTGATGGCGCGTTGCAGAGGGTCACAGACGTAGGGACCGGCAGGTGCAAAGGCTTGGAGGTCGGGTTGAGCCGGGAGGATTCGGGAACGCCGAGATCTGCCTTGTGTGTTCAGGGAACAGAGAAGGTGAGGCAGAGTCGCGCTTGGAATGCCAGGCTGCCATTTTCAGGAGGCCGGGAGCATTGACAGTTGTGAACAGAAAAGGACTCTCCTGATTTAGGCTTTCAGAAGTTTTCCAAAAGCTGTTCAGAGTGTTAGACTGGTTGCCTCGCGTATAGGTACCAGAATGTGCAGGTGCTTGCAAGGGAGACTGAGCTAGTTCAAGGGAATCTCAAGTCTCCTTTGTTTCTCATGGGAACAGAGAGCAAGGGGGCAGGAGTCAGACCTGGAATGGCGCTCTGAGAAGTTGAGTGTCTATTCTGCAGGTGATGGGAACGATGGGAGGTTTGGAGCGGAGGAGGGAGGTGATCTGACCCAGCTCTTATCAGACTCCCTGTGACTGCAGAATGGAGAACCGAATGGGGCGCGGGGTGAGGAAGGTGGTTGGAAAACCAGGGAAGACGCTACTGCAACAGTCCAGGAGAGTCTTGATGATGTGGACCAGTGTGGTGACCTTGGAGGTGGTAGACATGGTTAGATTCTGAATTCAGTTTTTTCATTAGATCTCAGATTTTCTGATTTTGTGAGAGTAGAAGTCAGGGATGACTGTAAGGTTTTGGGGTGTAGCAGCCAGAAGGATGGAAGCTCCATCAGTTGGGATCTGGAATTTGGTAGTAGGATTAATTTTCTTTTTCTTTTTTCTTTTTTTTTTTGACTGCATTGGGTCTTCGTTGCTGTGCCTGGGCTTTCTCTAGTGTGGCAAGTGGGGGGCGACTCTTCGTTGCAGTGTGCGGGCTTCTCATCGTGGTGGCTTCTCTTGTTGCGGATCATGGGCTCTAGGCACACGGGCTTCAGTAGTTGCAGCTCGTGGGCCCTAGAGTGCACGGGCTTCAGCAGTTGTGGTGCGCGGGCTCAGTAGTTGTGGTGCACAGGCTTAGTTGCTCCGTGGCAAGTGGGATTTTCCCGGACCAGGGATCGAACCCCTATCCCCTGCATTGACAGGTGGATTCTTAAGCACTGTGCCACCAGGGAAGCCCCAGGATTAATTTTCAATCGGTATTAGGGGTTTTGTTTTGGCATGTTAAGTGTATGAGATGTTTCAGAGAAGAAATCAGTAGAGGTATTAAGTGGGCAGCTGGACACACAGGTCTAGGTCTCTGGGGAGGGTTTCAGGACAGACACCTGAAGAAGGTGGTGGATAGTATGTGGACCAGGGTGGAGCTGTGTGTCTTGGCTTAGATGGCTAGAACAGAATACTTTTTATTTCTCACAGTTCTAGAAGCTGAGAATCCAAAATCAAAGTATTGGCAGGTTAGATTCCTGGTGGGGGACTCTCTTCCCGTCTTGCAGATGGTTCCCTTCTCCCTGTATCCTCACGTAGATTTTCTTGGTACAAGGAGGTGGACAGAGCAAGAGATGCCTGTCTTCCTCTTATAAGGGTCCTTCTTACAACCTAATTTAAACCTGATTACTTCCCAAAGGTCATGCCTCCAACTACCATCACATTTGGGGTTAAGGCTTCAACATAACAAATTTTGGGAGGATGCATACATTCAGTCCATAACACTGTGGGTCACATTTAGTGGTGATAATCTTGGTCATGATAGTGTTAATAATAGCCCAGGAAGGGGAGAGTGGGGTCTGAGGGCTGGGCCTTGTACTTGGGCACCAAGGTGGAGGATGATAGACATCACAAACATAGGTGAAGGAGATAAGTGGTCGTAGGAACAGTGTGGGAAAGAGGATGAGCTACTAGGTGATTTAGATTTCTGAGGGATGAGTGCACATGAGACAGAAATGGTGGCAAAGGAGCAGTTGAGGCAAGATTGACAGTGAAGCCAGGTCTACTGCTTATTCACTGCTCTATGGGCTCACCAGGGTTTTGCTGTGACCTTCTGTTTCTGGGGGGTTTTAGTCAGGTTGGTGGATTAGTTTAAGAGGCACAAGTGGTCATCTGGGAGAGTCACTGGACCTGGGGTGGAAAGTGTCTGGGACTCTGTTTTGAATGATGGTTAGGAAAAGAGAGGAAGTCTGATGGGAGAGCACATCAAGTGTAGCTCATGTGGAAGAGGGACATGACTGTATGAGATGCACAAGTGGTTCTGGGTGGCTGAGGTTGAAGCAAGGAGCAGAGTCAGGCAGGACTGCCAATGGCAGTGGGGACCAGTGGAGGTCTGGGTAGTTGGATCCTGCTTGAATTTTCTGAGCACTCTATATGCCACGTGTTCCGTGACACGTAGGAAGGAGAGGCAGATGCCTGTGTTGCAGGGCAGGAAAGAGGTGGTCACTGAGAGAGACGTTGTACAAAGAGTGATGTTGAAAGGGAGTGTGAGCTGATGGCCTGAGGGCCCTGGCACTGAGGACATAAGGGTAAAATGTGAGCCCACACCCTTGGTTATGTCTGGGAGGCATGATCTGGGACATCCTAGGAGCATTTCCTCGTAAGAGGGAGTCCTTCCCTGTGTGCCAGGCCCAGAGCATAGATAGCATCTGTCTGTCCACCTGCCTGGTGCTGTGGGTGGACAGGGTAATCAAAGGGACCATGAGAAGAGTGTGCACATCAGTGACACCAGGGCCTGGTATCTCCTCTGAGATGAGGAAGTGGCAGGGGGTGGTGAGCAGGGTATGAGTGGGTGGGTAGATGAACTTGGGGTCCTGTGAGAGAAGCTGATCATGGAACAAACTGTCCCCATCATGGCAGGCCTGTGTGACCTTTGAAGACGTGGCCGTTTACTTCTCCCAGGAGGAGTGGGGGCTCCTTGATGAGGCACAGAGGTTCCTGTACCATGATGTGATGCTGGAGAACTTTGCACTTACAACATCCCTGGGTAAGGCCTTCATATTCCTCCCGGTGTCCTCAACTGTCCTCTGTCTTTCCCCTGTCCAAGAGGCAGCTCTCTCCATTCCATGGCTAGACCATTGTCTCTGCTAACTTCCCCACTTACCTGGCATATGTGCTGTGGATGCCAGTGCTGAGCTGTGTACACTGCCCCGAGCACTGTACTCCTCAAGCAGCCCCAACGTCTGATACCCCGAGGAATGCAGGGAAGTGTCTGGGAGTCGGTCTAGCAGTCAGCCTAATAGAGCTCACATTTCTTGTCCTCTCCTTGGCAAAATGACTGTGTCCATATCTATGGTACCTTGTGCCCCAGATTCTTTCCCTTTTCTCTTTTTTTTGAGATATAATTAGCATAGGACATATTAATTTCAGGTGTATTGTATAATGATTTGGTATTTGTATATATTGCAAAATGCTCACAATAGTAAGTCTAGTTAACATCTATCACCATATAGAGTTACACATTTTTTTCCTTGTGATGAAAACTTAATTTTAAGACTTCCTTGTGACTGCCTATATCAGGATTGCAGGCATTGTCATTGTCACTATTTATATATAAGATTTTCTTGAAAGACCCTGTTTTGGGATTTTATTGTAATAGTCTTTCCTTTCCTGGGGTCTGCTCTTTCTTGAGTTGCTCTGAGTCAGTGCTGACCACTCATATGTCCTGTCTTT